CTCCACGCCCACTGAATTAAGCAACTGGACCTCAGCCTTTATTTCAACCTTCAACCCGTTAATGAAAGCACTTTCCAGGACCTCCTCTGAGACGCTTCGTAATGGCGATGCGAGCTGCTCAAATTGCCAACGGTAGTCCTGAACGGTGGTGGTCTGTCGGAGGGCCAAAAACTTGGCGCAGAGGGTCCCGTCCTGTGATGAATGGAACTGTCGTAGTAGTCGGAGTTTCAACTCCTCCCAATTCTCAACGGGTCTGCGTCGATCTTCCCATTGGTACCAGGCCAAAGCTTTTCCCTCCAGGCACACAGTAGCTGCCTCTTTCTTCTCTTCCTCTGTCATCCGATTAATGGTGAAGTAACGTTCCACACGGAAGACCCATCCATATGGGTCTTGACCATCAAACACAAGCATGTCAAGTTGATGTACCCGCGGATCCCAATGCCACCCAGTTTTGGTAGCTCCCCCGCTGCTCTGAATTTTCTCCGAACTTGCCTGAGTCTCCCCAGTACTTGGTGAAAAGGTCAGTTGGTTGGTGGCAATCCCTTTTTCCTTCCTGTCTCGTTCCTGGCTGTCCCAAGACCGGAGCATGAAATCAAGTTTTTCCATCAATTTGCAACGTAGTTGATGAATTTCGGTCCTCATAGTCGCCATTCCTGTTTGAATTGCAAGATGATTGTCCGCCACTTGTTGTTCCAGCACTACAACTCGATCGGTGAGGGTCATGATGCTCTGATACCAATTTGATAGGGGTGATCGTGATTGTGCAATAGAAGGTGTTGGAGAAAGAAATGAACAGAATTCTTTTGGGATTTTCTCTGAATTTATTCAATATGAAAGGTAAACTGGGAATTACAAATGAACTGGAATAAACCAGCACTTCGAGAGCTGGGAATTCTCCACTACAAAAATTAGTAAATTCTCGATACCTTTACCATTCTTCCACACCCTTACATATAACCCTTCCCGTAACTAATCTAACTAACTTGCTAACAAATTCAAAACACCTTATTATGACATAATAAGTGGGCCCCAAATTAATATCTAAAAGATTTTGTGCCCGTTGACATTTTAGGTCACTCCTTGGTGCAATTGTTTCTCTCCTTGCGTCTAGTGTAGGTGAATCTGATCGGGGGCTTATCAGAAGTGTATTATTAGTTTAAGCCAGAAAGAAACAACGTGAAATTGCAAGGAATCACCATGAGGTTGAGTTGGCTAAATTTAGAAGTATGAAGTATAAAGCTTATTAGTTGATTAGTCATCTTCGCCATCACATGTACACAATATTTAATCACACGTCCAACGTACATAAGACTGTAAAGAAACATAATGGAGTCATTTAATCCATTGTCATAACTGTCCCAATTAGGTGGTCGTGAACTCTCTCATTCATTGTCCAATGTATTAAAATGTAACATAACTCTATTCAACAATGAATTAGAAGTATCTAAGCTATTAATGATTACAATTAATAATAAATATCATAATTAGATACACCGAACAGTGCTACAAATTGCTATTATACTTCTTTAGTGCTACTTACCTGATTTCGTAAACAGAAAATACCTAACAAAAATGGGTTAAAAATCTACTCACGCGGCACGCGGGACATCTTGACATAGCAAAGCAAAGAGGATTGCTCTTGCATGTACCGTCTACCAAATATGGATAGTTAGGAAAGGGAAAACCTTTGAGGATCCACAACCGCACATGGATAGCATTATTCAAAGGATAGACATGCGTGTACAAAGTAACGTTTACATTGCATCATTATGTTTTGATTTAGTTTGAAACTTTAGCGATTGGTTTTTAATTTTGTAATCGTTGATATATCTTTTGATATTAGTTGCTCGGGGATGCCTGATGTAATTGTACTCATCTTATGATCAATATATTCACATTAATTGATTAAAAAAAAAAGGGGGGAAAAAAAAGACAAATTTAATTTCTTACTTCCCAAATAATTAAATAAAAACACAACCGTCAATCCCAAGACACTGTAAAATTTAGAAGAATGATACATGCCATGTATGTTTATATAAACGACAAGTATCTGTCATATTCAATCGTGCTCATATTTCAATACAAAGCTAATATCAGTGTCGTAATCAATCGTCTTCTCATCTTTTAATGCTAAGCCTAGTAGAGAATTAAGAAAGCACGAGTACAAAATTGACACACACCAAGAAATTCACAACCCAGCTTCAAATATTCAATTCTTCCATTGATCTCAAAGGCAAAGATTCATCAAAAAATGCGTTCTTAAGTAACAAAAACAACGATCTAAGAACACTATGTAGGGTACAAAAGATCCAACCACAAGTCCAAATCAACCCATACGTCTCTATTATCACGATTAAGTGGAAATAAAGCAATACAACAAGCAGAGATATCACCGGGATAAGATCTCCCATCAATCCTATGTATTTACGTAGTCCTCAAATCTGATAGGAGTGTGTCATCATTGGCCATTGGACACTGATGATGTCTTCTTTGATCTTCGGCTTGAATAGATCTTGGAATAAATGGTTTTCGTTCTGAAAGCCAGCAAAACATCAAGACCAAACCCAATAATGCATGCAATTGCCATAACCACAAACACTAGCCGGTAACAGTGGGCACCTAGACATGTGTTCCCGCCTCCAGCTGTGCGTGTAGCTTGGGAATCATATAAGAAGCCAGCGAGCAATCCAGAGAAGAGGAACGATCCCAGAGGAAGATTAAGGATTAGAATATTGTAAATGAGACCATAATATTTGAGGCCAAAGAGTTCGGAGGCAGTAGGAACTGAGACAGCTATCCGAACTCCATAACATATCCCAACCACTATGGAACCAACATATAGCGATCCCGGCATAGCAATGGCCATTATGACATATCCCACTGCCATTAGAATCTGTGAAGCTGCATTCCATATTGGCCTCGGTGTTCCGGCCCTCCTGAGGATAAGAAAAGAAAAGCAAGGTAATCAATTGGAATCGCCAAATAAGTGCCTTGATATAATCGATATTCCCGGGACATACCGACCAAAAACTCATTGAACTCCAACATGGTTGCAAGTCATGTTAAACATATTTGAGTATGATACGTTGCATAAGCCAATGAAATATATTTATTTCACAATCAAGCATGATGCCAAGAAGATCGCTGGATGCAACCGGACCAGCCAACAGGACAGGTTACCACTTGCACAACCATTCAATAAAGGGGAAAAAAAAGGCTTCTAAGATGTTTTTCCATCAAATACAAAGATAAGAAAACAGGGACGTATCATGCTGGTTTCCTCAGCAAGAATATTACAGTTCATATTTCAAACATATTAATGAATCACGTATAAGACCATGGTCAGCCAATTATTACTTTTGCTAATTATAGATTCACACGAGTTAAAAAGTGCTTCTTTTGGGACTCCATAGCATCCACGATGTTGATATCCCACTTAACCTATTGAAAACAGCAAGAATATGCAATTGTGAGTAAGAAAGAGTTGGATATGTGGTCCGTTCCAATATTAATCCCGAATTTCGTGTTAAATTTCCAGGCAAAAAAGCGGTAGGAAGAAAAGTCTCCTGGAATGGGTTAAACAACGATTGAATCACAAGAAAAAGAGCCATGTAAAAGGCGCCAGCCGACCATGTTGACCTAAAAACTTCTTAAAGCATTTTTTATGTGCATTTATTATAATTTTCTATTTCACCTACACACTTGGACTTTTAATTGCATAAATAAAATTTAAGCAGAAACAGATCTAATGAGGAGAATCCCAATCAAAATACGGGCATCCGTATCCTTATTTAAACACTTTTCTTCACCCAAAATCTCATGAGCCCCACAGTTTTCCCCTTCAAGCAATTAAAAAGCCAAATTTGTCCCAGGTATAGCTTTCAATTCAATCTTTAAAGAAAAGCATCAGCTGATTAGAAGAAAAGTAATCAAACAACTTTTTAACATATATTTTTCTAATGTTTTCAAAAAAATTTAAGATCTGTATACATACATATCATAAGAAATTGCATTGGATATATCACAAGACTAGTAATTTAGTAGTTTTTGCTTCAAGCATTGGCAAAGTTGAAAAGAAGATCACAACATGCCAAGATCAAAAAGTAAATCAATGTGCATAATGAGTCTCATAAAGTATATTCTATCCACATGATGCATGCACACAATCATTAAGAAAAGCAAAAGAATAATTACTGAATCAAGAAGTAATTAACTTACTTAATGAAGTACTCAGAAACCCATCCTGAAAGAATGCGGCCGAAGAATCCCCAGATGCTAGTTAGCGACACGAACATGGAAACATCGGTGTACCCAAGTGCCAACCCCATTTGTCCCATGTTATTCATAACTGTTAGGCCTGTTCCAACTCCACAAAGAAACGACACGAACAAAATCCAGAAATCCAATGTTTTCAAGGCCTCGATTATTGTGTGTTCTTCGCCAAGAACCGGCCTCCTCTTTTCGATGAACTCCGTTACTTCCACGTTTTTCTCCACCTCCACCACGGGTTCTTTTACTTCTTTGGTTAGTAATGGCACAGTTACATTGCGTTCAATATCCATGGTTTTAGAATCAGAACAGGGTCTAATGAAATCCTTTAACGCGAGGTAAATCGGAATTGATATAGGGGAAGCTAAAAGAACCAAAAGCACTGCAGCAAAAATTTGGGAAAATAGGCGGCCATGAGCCCCTGTAACGTCGTATGCCAATAGATAAAGTGCGATAACTACAGCAAGAACGTTAATTACACCGAAATATTTTGTATCGTCATTTTCTTCCGCCGAGGTGGACGAAGGTGGGATTTCACGGAGGAAAACAATGGCAGTGAGGCAAACCACAAAAGGTACTACTGTAAGCATGACTAGAAACTTAGCCGGATCATCGGCGAACAAAGCCGAGCAGATGTCAGTGAAAATTGCGGTGCTTAAACCGACATAACCTTTTAAAATCCCGGAAACTGGGCCTCTGTTTCTCCTAAAATTCCTAATACACGTGACCAGAATTGCTGTATTCATCCACGTCGTGCTGTTTCCTCCCATACACATGAATATACACATCTGCCCAAATTCAGATACATTTATTAGTATGGCTCACACTTCACAGCAGAAAATAGAACTTAAAATTCGATAAACTTACAGCCCAGTAGGGAAGGGGTTGGATGCGGCGGCTAACGACGAGCCATTGAACGCCGTAACCAATAAACCCTTCAATTGAGCCGATGAGGAGAATGATGGAGGTTGGGAGACGGTCGGAGGCGATTCCGGCGAGTATTCCAAAGGCTTTTCCGACGTCTTTAGCGACGGAGAGGTTATTGAGCTGGAGTTGAGTAAGGGCCATAAGGGACTTAAGAGCGTCGGAATAATTCGAGAAAGTGTAATTGTTGCCGGAGACAGCTTGAACCCACACTGCAGTAACAAAACCCAGCCATTTTCCGGCGGGGGACGTTGGTGAAAGCATGCCCATTAACAACAAACAGTTGAAGAAAGATGGCGAGATTTTAGAGAGAGAAAATCTTGATCGGTGCTAATGAAGCATATAGCATTGGAAAAACCATTATAATATATAGAAGAAGAAAAATTATAATTAATTTGATCCTCACAACTTGCTACGGCCTACAGGAAATGGCAAAACCATTGATATTTTCTTTGGGAAATTGTAGAATTGGTCCTCAATTAATTATTTAACTAGTAAATTGATCCTATACTTTTACGGTTCTCCTTCACACAAAACCATCTAAATTTCTATTACAATGTCATGTCCACTCGATCGCATCCGGCCACCTTAACCCACCTCGAGCACTGTTATTGTCCTTTTAAACCCAAATTCTAATGCATAAATTGATTGACAGGTAAAACAAATTCAGCAATTATATGAACTAGATTCATTCAATTGCATATAACTCCAAATCAAATCATAGAAGTTGAATTTCAAAATAAATAAATAATATTTTAGACGAGTTAAAATTAATGGGATTTTGAGAAAAATATATTTTGGAATAATAAATTTTGGAAGAATTTTTTATTAAAAAGTAAGGAAAAGTTTTGAATAATATTTCATTGTATGAATGGATAGTTGAAAATGAGTACGTAGAAAAAAAAATTTCAATTAATGGTTGTCAAACACAGGCTTAATTAGGCTATGTTTGAGTCCATTATTTGAAAAAATAAATTTTATAATAGTAATAATATGATTAAAAATGAGTTCGAAAAAGAATAATTGTTTATAGAATGAGGTTCAAAATAAAAGCATCACTCGCTCAAATCTTGAATATATGTCTCCTAATCCAGGGGCTTAATTGCCTTGCATAACCCATTGCATAACACATAACGATATTGACAATCTTTACTCTCTTTTTTATTATTTGTTTATTACTGAATGCAGTTGTCCGCTAGAAATTTATTGGAAGATCGAAGACGACTTGTTTCGAATGTCACAACTTGCTGCTTTTTATATTCGCCAAATTGTTAATATCAAACTTTATTTTACTTTATAAGTAGGCCGACTATTTTGAACAAATATTCTGTGTTCCATTCAATTTATTAATGGTCTGTCCTCTCTGGAATAACACTTTTCTTTTTTTTAATCACGAGTTTATAAAGATCTCTAGGGGATTTCATCATTAACTCTTGACCTATTGTTCTAGGTCACGTTCGGTTTGATAGTGATTTTTTAATTCAAAAATTTGATTTTTTTTATCGTTATTTCATTATTTCAACCATAATTTTTGACTTCTTCTTTCACAGGTGACCACCAATTTTCTTCTAACGTTCAAAAAATCAATTATCAATATCACTATCGAACAGATCCCTAGTAGCATGTTTGTCCTTTTTTCCACAAATAGAAAAGGCACATTAGTCCTCATTATTATTCTTTTATTATAATTACACAATCAATGCCGACTAATAAACCCCGTCTAAAAATTATTAAAGTCTCTCGCAGGTCCAACTTAATGCAATTAGATATTACTTTTTTAATTTGACCCGTGCTCAGTCTGGTTGAAATTATAATGAGCTTAATTGAGATACTTCATATATATTATGCCATTAAAAATTTATTTCTAACCATGATCATATTAATATTTAGCAAATAAAATCAAATTTAAAATCATAATAATAAAATCAAATTTAAAATCATAATAATAAATATCCTTAAAAAATACCAAATTTTTAAATTCTATTGCTCACTTAACTTTTAGACCAATTAAATTAATTTTAGAACACCAATTAAAATCTTAAACCTTTGGTTAGTTTCGCGTGCAAGCCACGTTGAAACTACATAACACATAACCATTCTTAGTTAATTGAGGGCGTTTGTTGTTTGTTGTTTGTCGTCAGCAACCGCAATGTGCGTAGGCCACAACTCAAAATAAATATTGAATTTAACTTAAAATTAAATCAAATTTTTATCTATATCAATCAGAGACTTAGTGCATGTTTGGTATTGTTTTTTCAACTCAAAAAATTAATTTTTTGACCAGTATTTCACTATTCAAACCATCATTTTTTATTTCTTCTTTCACAGGTACGACACACTTTTTTCTCCAACGGTCAAAAAATCAATTCTCAAAATCACTACTTTACAAACTCTTAATTCTTATTGGGAAGTGATATGTCTATACAATAGTGTACACACAATATTACAATCCCCTTACATGGAGGGGATCCCACATACAATAAAATATTTGTGGGTCTTCATCTATTTGAAGGGAGTGTAATTCATTGTGTACATCATGAGATGTACATAGAATTATCCATTCTTATTCCAGTTATCATACGGATCACATGTCCGTACGAAAACTTATCAAAATAATTAATATAATTAAAAAATCAACTTTACCTTGAAATATCATTGAGATATTGCTATTCCCATTTTCAAGACACCGTTTTTAATTTAATCAATTGAATTTATCACATTCTTCTATCTAAATTGATGTTCTAGTAGATTTATAAAGAATACCATATTCTTTTGTGGAGATTGAGGGTAACAAATGACCAGATTTGATAGGTGATCAAATTCTGTGACTCCAATTAAGAACATGTTCGATAATGATTATGAGAATTGATTTTTCGACCGTTAGAGAGAAAAGTTGAGACAATTTGTGAATGAAGAAGTCAAAAATGAAAGCTGAAATAGAAAAATAACGGACAAAATATCAATTTTTTTGGGGTGAAAAATCACTAGCAAACGGGGGCTTAATTGCAAAATGAAATTGCTATTCAATTCATCTCAAATCAAACAATTAATGAAAATTTATTTAACAAAACCGAAGGGAGTGACTAAAAGCTTGTACAGTCGGTTACTTCAAAGTCCAAGCCATCCTTCTCCTTTTGAAAGCGTCTAAGCAAACGTGAAAGTTGAAACGTCTCTTCCCAATAATTTTATTAAATTCTTGAATAATTACTTAATCAATCATATAGCTGTTTTGCCTAAGCAAAAATTGGTGGGTCCCATGATCATTTTTTTTCTCCATAATGGTCCCACCTGCGTTGATAAAACGTATCGTACTATAAGCCTGTCTTCTTATCATGTGGTCTTTATTTTTCAAAATAAATTCATCTCGTAAAACGACAATTAATGGTATAGTTAATATACTTGATTAATATCATTTACAAGTACAGCAGACATTGAGGACGATGTCCAACCATATTTGATGGAGATCTTTCAATGTCAAATTGTGATATAGAGATAAAGAGAGTGTTTGTGCTTATCGTCAAATTTCTTTTATCTATTTATGATTATCTTGTTGAATATTTTCTTTCGATTTAATGTGGACTATTATGCCCTTTATAACTCATCAAGAATTTGGTGACACAATTTTACAAGTCTTTGATCTAATGTTACATCTCTTGAACGTGCTATCCTCATAATCAATCACCGTTGATTGATGCTCATTTGTGAAATAAACAGCTTGTTTGAGCCCTATTATTTAAAAAAAAAAACATTCTTTTACAATATTTTGATATCATTTCAACAATATATTTTTCAATAAAATAATATTACATGTAAATTCAAAAAAAATTTCTTATTTTTTAACCACACATTTTTCATCAATACACTATTCAAAAATTCATTTTTTTCCTATAAAATGGGGCTCAAACAAGGGCAAAATTGAGTAACGAATAATAAGTCGAGTTGTTGATCACATGGACTTTCATTTAAAATTCATCAAGTTTTCATTACACATTTTATCAACTTTTATTAAAATCTACTAAATTTTTTATTAAACGAAAAAATTTTGTCGAACAACCCCTTTAGATTACGAAAATAGAGAAAGCAATAAACAATTTTAAAGAAGAAAAATAAAAATAATAGTCACTTTCTGCGACTTGCTTATCAATGTTGGAATAAGTACGGACCATGTATTTTTCGATCTGTAAAATCATACCGTCCATCACCATGGAGAGAGCGGCCCCAAGTTGGGTCGATCATTGATGAACATTAAACGTGCTCAGAAAAATATAAGATATTTTTAAAATCAAGACCATGTGGACCTCTTTTATCCAAGGCGGGCCCCACCTAAATAATAATAAATAGACAAATCTAGCTGGGTATTTGTATAGAAATGAATTTTTGTATTGTTTATGTCAATGTGCATGTTCCATGTTGTGGACCTTTTTTTTCCAAGGCGGGCCCCACCTAAATAATAAGAAATAGACAAATCTAGCTGGGTATTTGTATAGAAATGAATTTTTGTATAGTTTATGTCAATACCTAAATAATAATAAATAGACAAATCTAGCTGGGTATTTGTATAGAAATGAATTCTTGTATTGTTTATGTCAATGTGCATGTTCCATGGTGACCTTTTATAATTTGGACCATGTCCATATCTGCACCCAAAAGGTATATACTCTGCTTGAGCCACAATTTTTTGAAAAAAAAAAAAATATTTTTCAACAGTGTTTGACATTATTTTAATCACATATTTTTTAATAAAATAATATTATACGTAAATTCAAAAAAAATTCTTATTTTTTAACCATACATTTTTCATCATTCTACTATTTCAAAATACATTTTTTTCAAAATAACATGGCTCAAACACACGTATTCACTAAGCAGGCCAATTACATTTCAATTTTGCTTCTTCATTTACTTGGGGTTGGTGGAAGTAATTTTTAATTCAATCCTCTTTGTTATTTAGCGTCGGCCGCAGTTGATCTACAAAGTCAAAAATTATCATGAAAACTTTATATAATTTATCATAATAAGTTTAATGGAGACGCCAACTTGACTTGACTCGACTCGATTCGATTCGACTTAATTCGATTCATAAAAACTTAACCAAAACCATTGCAGAAAGTTGGGACAACTGCAAATTATCCAATGGCTTTTTAGTTGGGCAAAGCTGTGAGTGTCTGTGGGAATAATTCTGCATCTTGTAATTTTCTGTATGAGTCTGACCCTTTCCCACATTGGCCAACTATATGACTTTTGTTTTATCAAATTTAATTGGCTAATTGGGAATCAAATGAGCTTTTACATGCTGTTCCATATTATCATAAAGCAGTGGATTTTAACTCCAAGAAATAGAAAAACAAGAAAACGACAAAAGAATTTCATGCTGTTCCATATTATCATAAAGCAGTGGATTTTAACTCCAAGAAAT